CAGGGTAAGCTTCTGACACACTCGTGCCCACCCTACGCTATAGCCTGGGGTGCAAACAGCATCATGGTGGGGGGCTGTGACAAGAAGGTGGTGGCCTACAGCAGAGAGGGACACATCCTGCAGACCTTCGACTACAGCCGCGACCGAACAGAGAAGGAGTTCACCGTGGCTGTCGCCAGCCCCAGTGGGGAATCTGTGGTGTTTGGCAGCTTTGACCGGTCAGTGTGTGGCAGCATCACAGTTAAAGTGAAAGTTTATCATGATGTTTCTGCTAAGTTTGTTTTTCCCTTCTGATGTTTGTCCAGGTTGCGGGTGTTTAATTGGGCTCCGAGGAGAGGAATGTGGGATGAAGCCAAACCTAAAGAAATTTCCAACCTCTACACAATCACCAGCTTGGCCTGGAAGAAAGACGGATCACGCCTCTGCGCTGTAAATACTTGATCTAACACATTCTGTGACTGTCTGCTTAAATAAAGGTTAAAAAAAAGTTATTTTAACCTGCAGTGTGACTTTAAGTTCAGCATTGTGTTAAGATGCCTTTTGGTCTCAATTTCTTTCACCAACTCTTGACTCCAACAGCTTATGATGACTCTGAAAGCATGTATGTTCTGCAATAACTATTAATTTCTGTGCTGCTACCATCTGAAAATGACCAAAAAAAAAAACAGATTAGAAAATGTAAATTGCGTTTTTTAGGTGTTTATTTGTTGATTGTGTCTCAACAGGGAACACTGTGCGGAGGAGTGGAGCTGTTTGACTGCTGCCTGCGAAGAACCATCTACAAGAACAAGTATGAGGTGACCTACGTTGGCCTGAGCCAGGTAGGAACAGCCAGGCAACAAGAAAACCATCAGTGCTGAACCACAGTGTTTGTAATTTCACTAAATTAGACAAACAGACAACCAAATAGGCAATTTCAGACGTCTCTTTGCTCTCCTTCTTCTGCTAATTAACAGACGATGTGAAAACAGCCCCGTTGATTTTGTGAGAGCAGTAATGCAGACTTAATGAATTCAGGTGCAACAAGCAGCCCTGTATGATTAAGAAAGAGATGAGCTCCGAAAACAATCATCCAGCCTTTTTGTTTATCTGATTTTCTTCTTAATTGACAAATTAAATGTAGCAGAAAATAATGTTTACAGTAGTCTGGAAAAAAAGCCATGCTGGAAATACACATCTTGTTTGTTTTTCATTATTTTTAAGCCATCAAACATGAATATATCTGCCTTTTTTTTTTTTTTTTACTATTTCCCGTAGTTAATTTGTTGTTGTTTATAATGTTACCCTTAGAAAATAGGGAAAAACAACACTAATTGCTAATTCTAAGAAAATATCTTAAAAAAAAGCCATGTTTTTTAATTTAATATTTTTATTTTTATAGGAATAAGCATGAGTCTGTGCCGCATACCACATTACTTGTAGGCCACACTAATTTGCAGAAGCAAAGTAGTAATTAAAACTATACAATAAATACACACATTATGAACACACACAAGAAGGAGTCTCTTGCGATTAACTTTGCTGCTTGGAACGACCACCACACTGAACTGACTGGCGTTTTAACAGGATTAACAGGTTGAAAGTATCAAATATCAGTGTGTGAATCGATTGTTACTGGATTTCAAAACCGTAAGTAAAGATGGAATATGTTTTGTTTTGTTTCTTTTAATTCTAGGTGATAGTAAAGAACCTCTCCACAGGAACTCGGGTTGTCCTGAAGTCCTATTACGGTTATGAGATAGAAGAAGTGAAGATCATGGGGAAAGATCGCTACCTGATGGCTCACACATCAGATACGCTCCTGCTGGGAGATCTCCTGACAAATAAATTAAGCGAGGTTGGACCTCAAGTATTATACCATAAAAGAATATACCATAAAACAAAGAAGTAACAGGAGTGGTACTGTTGGAAGGGAATAATATAGGAAAAGGGAAACATTGTGACCAAAAATACAGGTGAAGGCTTTGAAGTTAGGTCTCTGCATTTAATAAAAGGTCTTTTAGTTCAATGGGCTAGAGAGACCCAACATTTATAGGCGTGCAACCCCATCCTAGAGAATATGCAAGCTGACATGCTGTTGCATTTTTCTGGTCATAAACTGTCAATTTTTGTTCTCTATCACATATACTTAACAACTAAACATGAGTAATCAGTTAATCACATCATTATGGTGCAATAAGAGTGTGTGGTTCACAAACATTAATGTCAGATTCTCACAGTAAATGCACGCTTCACACTGTGTAATTGTGTTATGTTCGCAGTATTGTTGTAATATTTGTATTAAAGTTAATTCTGCTTTCTCTGTCCTCTCCCAGGTGCCTTGGACTGGCTCTGGGGGAAATGAAAAGTTCTTCTTTGAAAATGAAACAGTGAGTACACACTAACCATTTAGACAGTGTGCAGATTATTTTTTTTTCTTATTAAAAAAAACCCCAAACCACTATTTATAGGCTTGCCAAGGAGCACAAAGGCCTAGTGTTTAGTAAATATAATTACCTCGGCAAAGGAGGTTATATATCAGGTCCTGTCATGTTGTCCATAAAACTACATTCTTCACTCTGCTGTATTCACAGCCCTGTTCTTGTTTCTGTTTTCAGGTGTGCATGATATTTAATGCCGGGGAGTTGAGCTTGGTGGAGTACAGCAGCAACGAGATTCTGGGATCAGTCCGCACGGAATTTATGAACCCCCACCTCATCAGGTTGGCTCCGTTCCTCATAATTATGCAGAAGCAGTGTGTTCAGTAACACTCGAGCGCCTCAACCGGTTTGTTTGGTTCTAAGGAACAGATGTGAAACAGTCCCACGCATGCAGTATTAGTGATCTGCTGATGGGGGTTGCAACTGTATAATTCTGATTAAAAGTCACACTAGGAGAGATTTCAGGCAATTACATACATTTATGTCAACATGTACTGCAACAAAAACGATTCAGCAGCAGTGTCATGAGCACATCTTTCATCATCCATTTACAAAATTGTCCAAAAATAGATTTATGGTAATAGCCTGAACCTACAATGATTGACAGTTTTGCATATTGGCAATGAAATCAATATCTCACTTCCAAACAGGAATATTTTGGGTTATTCAAACATGCATTATCTTTTTGAAGACAGTATTTGTAATATACTGAAAAACTAAAGAGAAATCCAATTTTTTTCCTGTCATGAACAAATATAAAAATGACAAATTTATATACATAAGGTACAAACAGAGACACAAACATTAACCCTGATGCTTTCTCATAAGTGCTTTCAGCCATGACCATTAGATGGCGGTATTGAGTTTTGGAGAAATCCTCTGCATCATTACAGTAAGGAGTCCACAGGAGTCAGTGAGGCTAAACCAACTAGTCAGCACACATCTATGTTAATGTATTCAGAGCTGTCAGAAGTGTCAGTGCTGTCAGCCTTTCTGTGACTGATGGCTGTCGGATACTCTGGCTGCTGCTCGCCTCCGGCTGGACACTGCAGCATGACAAATTCATGACCAGGTTCATCCTGGGATTTAACATAATGAAGAGCAGCTGAAGCCAGTTACGCTGCACTAATGCTGGGTTATTACTTGTTAAAACCATATCTCGCTGAATGCAGTCATGTCATTTAAACCAAGTGTGTGTGTGTGTGTGTGTGTCTAGTGTCCGACTAAATGAGAGGAAGCAGAAAGGAGTTGAAGACAACAAGAAGCTCGCTTATCTGATTGACATAAAGACTATTGCTATTGGTAAGAAAAAAAACTCTGTGTGTGTGTGAGAGAGAGAAAGTGAGACTGTAATTGTGTCTATTCAAAATGTGACCAGGTTCAGAAAAGGATTTAACACTCAGGGTGCTTTTGCAGTAGGCATAGTCCCTCCCCACTCCCCCGATGACCTGAGCTCACGCTGCGCTCAGTGACTGAACACACCCCAGTTAGTCTCAGCATGTTAGCTCCGCCCTCTTGTGCTCGCTGTCTGTCTCTTTCAAAAGCACACACGGCTTCATGCGTTTGTGGCTTAATTGGACCATTTTTGTGAGCTATGGCAGGCTGTTCTCTCACATTCCCTTTATATTTATTAATTATTTACCACAGAGATTTTAATGGAGGCTGTCGTTGAGGAACTATTGGAATACTGTGCTTGAGTCTTTCAGTGGCCAGGTCGCAGTGGGCTCATGCTAGTTAAAGAAACTTTGGGTGTCAGATGTGCTCAGCATGGTACAGATTGCATATTGTGAGTACACCCTTAGTTGTAATAGTTAAACATAAAGGTAATTCACGTTCTCATAAATTAATTACATTTTCCCACGAAATCATCAATATTTGTCTTTGGCCCACACCTTGAAGGCTTTTGGTTTGTACTGAAAACATAAAACATCCTCAATAAAGTTTTATCTTATAAATGTGCTTATAAAAGGGTTTTAGGCTAATATTATTTAAACAGGACTAAACAGTAGATTTTTCGGGGACTATTCTAAGCAGCGGGTGAATATATTATGGAGGCCTACTAGACAGCATGGTGTATGATGGGCTGACTAAAAATGAAGTTATAAGGCCATGTTCTTCATAATGAAAGTCTGCCTCTGGTCATTGAGGGGAACATATAACATATATTAATAGCATTTATAAATAAGACATTAAAGTCATACTTGTTAATTGGATCTAGATTGTTGCTTTTGACATTTTCAGTCATATTGTACATATATTATGCACAAAAGTAAATGTCTCCCCAGAGCTACGCAGAGGAGGGTGTTACGGGTAACAGCAGGTTGCAGAGACTCTTCACAAGAGGAAAGCAAACAATCATAAATGAAATCATTATGTAACTGAACTTCACTTTACTGAGGCCCATACACAGGTACCTGTGCCTCAAAGAGGATAATTCCACCTTTTTGTTCCAAATACAACTCAGTGAAAACTGGTAGTATTTGACCAAGTCATAGCATATAGGAACTCAGCCAGCCCATATGATTACTTACCATAATATTAAACTCCTAAAGTAATATACCTACAATAACTGCAGTATAAAGTCAGTTAGCTCAGTGTGGACAATAACCCCCATTTTAATTAAAAAGACTGTATAGGCCTCACATCAGCACACTAATATCAGCTGGATCCCAAAGCAGGTACATTTTGAGAGCAGAGAAACAGCTCAGGCTCTGCCTGATAGAATTATGGAAAGTTATAAAACAACTAGCTGATTTGTGATCTTGAATAAAAAGCCAGCGTTAGCTAGACACTGGCAGTCTGACTCAGTTAATCTGTCGGTTTATTTCTCCCCTCAGTGGACTTGGCCGGAGGCTACAATCTGGGAACCATCAGCCACGACTCCAAGATTGACTGGCTGGAGCTCAATGAAACCGGGTGCAAACTGCTGTTCAGGGACAAGAAGCTGCGGGTAAGAATAAAACCTCGGCACAATGAGATAGAGGCCCAGAGGCAAAAAGAGAGCGAGGGGGCAAATGATAGACAGTGTGATGAGGAAAGTAGAAAAGGCTGTCAATGCTAGGGGCATTTCTTTAGTTATGGCCATGTCCATCATCCAAAACAGGCGCTGTGGCTCTGTTTTGAACCATTTTGGTCATCCAGCCTTTCTGACTGACAGTCAAGATAAATGTGAAACCGTCTTTGCCACCAGGGGGTGCCATAAATTAACCATGAAAGGCATGAAATTTTAGCTATAGGGTTTAAATAAGAGGTTACCAACTTTTCTTTTTTTGGCTTTTGATCCCTTTAAATGACACGGTTCCCACTTGTTCTGCTGTTTTTTGAGTCCCGAAGGAGTAAGATTAATCAACAAAAGAATAAAACAATAAGACTAGAGGAAAATTGGAACGTGCTTTCTGGTGTAGCGTGAACATTTAATCTGCTTTTATAATGATGTTTAATGTCTGGGAAAGATTTTCTTTTCAAAGGAGGTCCTCATTCATGTGTTGTTGTAAGCACGGCATTATATTGTATTAAGAAATTCACAAGTTGAGCTCTAATTGATACAGATATGTTCCAGAGAAGGCAGACATCTCTATATAGATCGTACTGTATATAATAATCTGGATGGAGTAAAAGCAAACTAGGCCTTTAAATGTTAAGTCTTCATGACGATGAACTGTCCCTATTTAAAAGCCTTTTTTTTCTTTCTTTTTTTTTTTTGCACAAAACAAATTTTTTTCTTTTAGTTACGTCTTATATCATATAAGTGGGAATACATTAATTTTGCTGTCATAGACCCCATTTAAAAAACAGTATTCATTTTCTTCTGGTTATATGTAAGAGGTTGCTGATATTCACAGAGGCCTTGTGTGGAGGATGAGAGCAGCAGCGAGTTGCTGTCAGTTGTTGCCTCGGGGTAAAAAAAAGTTTGATGTTTAAGCCTTGGGGCAAAGACAAGGAGAACTCAGGTAATTGAGAATCCCTCTGTGGAGTCTAACTTTTTCCTCCAGTGCGACTTGCTGTGACACATAATTCAGTTTTACAAATCTAGTGTACAAGTTTCCTTTTAGTATATGCAAAATGAACTTTAGCGAAAGAGATTGTAAAATATTTATGATCATCAATGACTTGAGGAAGAAGTAGAAGAATAGAAAAGTTTGACGGTAATTAGTGCCAGGAAAAAAATCTCTGCAATCACTGAAAAGCTTTGTGTGCAGATTTTTTTTTTTTCAGTGAAACATTTTTCATGCCCAGGTTTACTGTAAATGTTAATTCATCTGATCTGCAGTGGTTATTAACTTTTACCTTTATTACAGCACTAATGGTGGTTCCCCAACTGCAATTCCGTATACTCCACAATCTGGGAGAAATTTCATTTTCCCATTTTCTTTTTTCAACAGTAAAGAGTCATAAAATGTTTCTCTAATTGCTCCTTGCTTTCAGATGACCTTATCAACAGGCTGCTTGTCCTCATTGCATTTTAAAGTTGGCAAGCTGAGCACCCGGGTGAGACTATAGACAAAGCATTATTAAAATTAGTGGTGGTGGGTGTGGGGAGGGCATTAAGGAAGCTGATTACATCAGCGGGCGGTCTCACATACTCACACATGCACATTAAGTGCTGCGGGAGTCTCTGTAGCTTATAGAATCTACATTCTCATCAAGTGCACAGTGGAACAGATTATTGCAGTGGGAGTTTTCACGTGGAGCTGCTGGATGTTAATCAACTTTGTTCAAGCCAAATGAGTTTAACTATGCTAATGTAAACCTCAACGTACAAGAACAGGTTGCTAGCAAAATGCTTCCTATAGAATCTTTACTTTAAGTGTTCTGCTGTCATATATCGAAAACCTTAAATGTTAATCCAGAGATGTTACAGCGGCAACAAATTATACTATAAAGGATGTACTCTGGCTTCCTCCCACAGTCCAAAGACATGCAGTTAGGGGGGTACATTAATTGGTAACTCTAATTTGCCAATAGGTGTAAATAGTTGTTTGTCTCTATGTGTTAGCCCTGTGGCACATTGGCGACCTGTCCAGGGTGTACCCTGCCTCTCGCCCTAGACAAGAATAAGTGGAAGAGAACGGATGGATGGAATAAAAAGAAGTAAAAACTGTTGTGTAAACCAGTGGGTTTTAAACAAGACTATTAAGATGTGTTTGAAGTGCATACTTTCAGCTTTAATTTAAGGAGTTTTTACAAACATTTTTAGGACGGTTGACAATAACCTAATGTGCCAAAAGGTCCAACAAATTATGGACCTAACAGTAGAAGATGCATAAGGCCTATTTTTGTACTGTGGACAAGGAGATACAACTCTCTCACTTTTAAGGTCTCCTACCTAAAGGTAACAAAATTCACCAACCAGGTTTTCTATAGATCAAAGAATAACCACATTATATCTTCAAATGCACCCCCAAAATCCAAGTACTAGTTACATATTTTTGCCACAACAAAGAAAACATAAAGGCTTGGCTTATTCCAGAGACTGGATATAAAGAGGACGTCACAACCAAGAGTCAGTGTACCTACAGAAGTTCAAGAAATAAAATAAAATAAGGTATGGAGACATGGTCAAAGGAAACAAACAGGTGGAAGGAGTGTGGGTCTGCTGTGCAGTGGGCCTGGAACTTACATTTCTGAGCTAATGAGGTTATAAGTAAACTAAACCAACAAATGCAGGTGCAAAAAATAAATCAATGATTCAAATGAAATAAATCAAATTAAATTCAACTTAGCCTGACTTTAAGTGGTGATCCATGATGGTAAAATGCTAAATGGGCTGTATTTGTATAGCGCTTTACTTAGTCCCTGAGGACCCCAAAGCGCTTTGCACTACATTCAGTCATCCACCCATTCACACCCTGATGATGTGAATACTCTTGAAATGACTCTTTTAAAGATAGCAAAAGATAATCTGGTGCAAAGTACTGTCGGCATAAACTTCCTATGAAATGATACAGTATATAATAAAAATATAATATTATTGTGGATACAAATTAGCTTTGATGGACTGTCAAGTGGTTTTGTTACCTTTGTACAGATCCTATTTTTTTATTTTATGCGAAGATAAACCAGATTAACTCTCTGGACTCTATATTTACGAACTTTAAATTTAATGGTCACAGCTGAAATTGGAGAAATTCATTCTTATGTACAGTGACACTTGCTGGACTTTGCCTTTACTGCTGGACTTGAAACCATTTCCTGATGATGAAAATAGGAATTTCTATATCTTTCTATCTTTCTCTGTCCCCTGCAGCTCCATCTGTACAACATACAGTCTGGCGTGAAGACCACATTACTGAGTTTCTGCTCTTACGTCCAGTGGGTGCCTGGCAGCGATGTGGTGGTCTCCCAAAACCGGGGAAACCTCTGCATCTGGTACAGCATCGACAGCCCAGAGACCGTCACCATGTTCCCTGTCAAGGTGAGCTTTTGTTTTCTTTGTAAGTGTGATTTAAGTATGGTCGGCATCGTTAACTGGAGGCTCTGCATCTGCCCTGGTTGGCTTGTTTTGATAAACCTTTTTATTTTTAATATCTCCACAGTGTTTATACTGAAGCCGCATGTTTTTGTATTTTTACTGTTCTCAAGCCTTTTTGTGTTGCTGGCAAAGCCTTAACAGAGAACCAGCTTTTTGTGCCGCTGTCCTGAGGCAGTTAGTCGCCCCTGGCGTGCGCAGGGTTTTGAAAGTTGCTTGCGTTAACACTTGCTGCTGTTCTCATTAATAATAAAAACCATCGCAGCAGCCTCTTGTGTGGCTGATTTATGTTTTTGCAAAGTGCACTGAGCTTTGTGCAAGACATTTTTATTTTGTAGACAATAGCAGCCGGTAGTAATGGACAAAGAATTGCTGCTGTTATGTGCTGGTCATAATTCCTTTAAAAGTATTTGATTTCATAGTGTTTAGTGGAAATCCTCATTAATAATCACCATATTAGTCTGCCCACAGTCTGCCCCAGGGCAGCTGTGGCTACAACTGTAGCTTGCCTCCACCAGTGTGTGAATGTGTGTGTGAATGGGTGGATGTATGGGTGTGTAAAGCGCTTTGGGGTCCCTAGGGGGGACTAGTAAAAAGCGCTATACAAATACAGGCCATTTACTATTATTGGGTACCAAAGTGCCTTGAGATGACTGTAGTTGTGAAGGGGCTCAATATAACTAAAACTGACTTAAAATAAATTTTTAAATTGAATATTTCCGATATACTTTGCTACTCAGCAGCTATCTTGGTGATACATCCAGCCATATATGTGGAAAGTTATTTTGATGCCCAATCTAATAATATGTGAAAAACAAAAGCATAAATGCTAAAAAATTAGGTTTGAAAACTTCTGAAGAGCTAAACTGGGAAACACTTGTTCCAAGGCCAATCTGTGTGCACTTCTGTTCTCCACGAGCTTGTGAAAGTTTTCTTTATGCACTCTGGTTTCTAGAAAAAACCCCTGCTTGGCTAATGCTGCATATATTGGCTGAGAACACTCTCCAAAAAGAAAGACATTCTTATCTTGTTAAATAAAGGTTTAACAAAAACTTTCATTATAATTATGTAAGTATATTTAAGTGTACTCATTGTTTTTCTTGGCTAAAAGCATCCATAATGTGAATTTGGAGGGTGCAAGTTGATTATGGTGGTCGACTGGACTGACCCACTAATGAAGCTGTGATGTTGTAAACCTGTGTCCATGCATACTGCAGCTATAATTACCAGAGAGAAACAAGCTTTTTAAACGTTGCTTTATGGGCAAATTTACCAACATTTCTTTTGTGTGTGTGTTTTTAAGACTGGTGATTCTTGACATGTAGCTTCTGTAGCCTGGTAACCATGTGATTGCTGGATGTTGCAAAACAGCTGCCAAAAAGAAATACTCACCAAAAACCTCCTTGTGATTGTTTTGGTCATTAGTAAATTGCCACGTTCCCCCATAGTTTGCATGGAAGATGTCGTATTTCTCTGCAGACACTCACCATCTAACTATTAATTTGTAGTGAAACTTGAAAAGGAGGAATACAAAATCAAAACAGAGATTTTGAGTTAGAGATCAAAGTAAAAGTTGTGCTTTACTGCTAAAGTCAACACACTGTAAAGGCACATCTTCTGCTTTGAACGCACAGCGTCTCGATTTGGCAGTTGATTTCACAGCAGCTGCCAGAACACTCTGTACCCAGTTCAGGAATACATGTTTTCCCCTCGCGACCGGGGGTCACTGACCACTCTCTAGGTTATTGTGACTGGGGTCCAAAAGCTTCAAGAGAACAGCTCCTATAACTCCCTTGAGGTTTTCCCAAGATGGCTGCAGAGTTGCTGTGCTCACTTCTAGAGAGACTTTGGTTAGGAGGCTTCACGGAGAAAAAGAAAATAAGTCTTAAATGTACCTGTGAAGTTAAACTGCACCAAAATCACTGTCCACATAGGGTGAAGAATAATTGGAACAAAAAAAAAAAGGAACTGAAACACTTTATCTAACAGGAAATTACTAAAATTGTTAAACACAATCACAAAAGAAGAGAAAATGAACAGGAATGAGACAAAGTGCAGACGTAGAGGATGACTGCAGGATTGCATGTAGATCAGAAATTGCAGAATATAAAACCTGACAAAATGTATTTTTGTAAGTAAAAGCTTCATCTCTTAAGCATTTTGTGGCTTAAACTGTCTAATAAATGCAGTAGCACGAAAAACACGTTTTCCACTTTATTAACACAGCGCGGAGGTTTCATACCTATGTATAATATGTATCTCCTTTCTTTGTCAGGGAGACATTGTGGATCTCAAAAGAGCCGATGGCAAGACGGATGTGATTGTGACAGAGGGTGTCAACATGGTGACATACACACTCGACGAAGGCCTCATTGAGTTTGGTACGGCTGTTGATGATGGAGATTATAACAGGTGAGTACAGCCCACTAAATAAAACCCTACACCCTATCAAAATGACGATGCAGCGTGAACATCCGTCCGTCCTTTCTTGCACCCGTCACTTTTCTGGGTCAGAGGCGCAGTGACAGCAGGGTGAGCAGAACAGGCCAGATGTCCTTTTATCCAGCAGCTTCCTCCAGCTCTTCTCGAGTATTTCCTCAGCACTCCCAGGCCAGCTGGGAGATATAATCCTTCCCTTCAGTGTGTTGTGATTTGATCACCTCCGAAAGGATGCTCGTGTGAAGCCACCTCATCAGATGGAGTAAATAATTATAACTGACCTCTCTTATTCAGGAGGAGCATCAACTCAGCTCCTTCCTCTAGCACTTTGGGAGTCTTTAGGAGGAATTTGGTTGCTTATATGTTTAATGCTCTTCTTTCATAGGGAGAAATTGTCATACAAAGTCTGGAATTAAATTTTTTAAGCTCAAACTACCCAATAAGGAATTGAAAGATCATGACTATATTATTGAAACTCATATATTTTGAGAAACAGTTTACAACTATTAACTAAATATAGTATTGTTTTGACATGGAACTGTGTGTGGAGGAGGTCATTTGGTCCTCCGCTGAGCACCGTCAGGCCTTTGCTGACAATGTCACTAAAGTCACCTACAGTGGAAAAGCTTTGTTTCTGGAAGAGGCATAATGTAAATAAATTTAGGGAATCAATTGTTTTATTTTGATTATTCCAGTTAAGGTTACATTATCATTTTTTTCAGCACAATGCTGTGAAGTTTAGGTTGACATAATTTTGGGTAATAAGAAACAGAAAATTTCTGGGATCTTATGTCTTATGGGAATCTTCTTGGTTCTTTCAAATACTCTGTTATCTTCAGTTATAGTGGTGAATGTCCATATTAACAGGGCCATAATGTACCAGTAATCATCATTAGCCAATAAGTTTAGGTTTCATACTGTTTTAAGTCCTTTCTTCCTGACATTTTATATACACTTGTGTCTGTATTAAATCAGTGAAAGAAGATAGCTTTCTGTTTGTGCGGGGTAGCCAATAAGTAGAAGGTTGTCTTAAAGGGGGCGGAGCTTAAACCTCTATTTTTCAGACATTAGATGAACATAGGGTGAGCTAATAGATATGATAAGTATAGATTTTATTTTTAAGCTATGAATCACATGAAGCAAAAATTATACTTTACAATGGGACAAGTACCACTGAATATGGAAACCAGGCATTTTATTTCATCCACTCATGATCTAAGTTAAAAGATCACTGTGTTATTGCAATTATTTTGTAAAGTAATTTTACAGCTTTGTGCCTTCTGGGGAGCTATTTGTTATTCCTCTCATTATTCTTATAAATCATGATCTTTCTAATCCGCTAATCTGTCAAATAAGTCTTCTAAATTCTATTTTACTAATGTTGGTGAATGTGATTGAATTAGATTAAGAAGATAGCCCTGGTCCCTCTTTAGCAGCTGTCACATTGAAGAAGTTCAGCATCTTTTCAGGTCATACCAGTAATAATCTTTCTAACATGTCCACTGATCTCCTCAGCAGACTTTATTAGATCAGAACATCTCATGGTCCATTATGACTTGCTTTATGTTTTTGTAGAGCATGCTATAGTGGAACACTGGACCATGCATAGGTTTTATTCATTGATTTACTTCATACAGTAATACAAAACATCTTCTTTATGGCTCTATATGTGGGGCTATTATTGTGATTGTCTTGCTGAAGAATGAATTTGGGACATTCAGGAACCAACTTGATCCAGTTTTATGAAACTACTTTTTTTTTTGAGTCACCTGTGTCTAATCACCAGTCCCCCTCGTGTGTATCTATAATGCCATCTTCCTGTATCAGTTTAATGTTTTTGGTATCATGTTCACTAACCTTCTCTTCATCCTTACTTTGGAGTTCCTTGTTTTTTCCATTCGGACATTTGCATCAGCCAAATTAGGCTAATTTATTTTTATTTATTTTACTTTATCTGTCTTACGGTCCAGTATCCAACAAGTCTGACTAAAAAACAAGATAACAACTTAGACTAAACTGAATTAAAGCATATTTAAAAGTGATGAAAAGACCGTAGAAGATTTTCCAATTCAGACTTAAATTTGGGAGTGGCTGCTGTAACGCAGTTTCCTCGATATTTGCAGCTCCGCTCCGTATCTTTACACACCATTTGTGGTCGGTATCTGCAGCACAGAATACTTGCTTTATGTTCTGTCTTGCCACCTGGCTCAGCTCTACTTGTGCATGTGCGTGTATTTTCCAGAGCCACAGCCTTCCTCGAGACTCTGGAGATGTCACCAGAGACTGAAGCCATGTGGAAGACACTCAGCAAGCTGGCTCTAGAGGCTTGCCAGCTGCACATCGCAGAAAGGTCAGCACGACACAAACGCGCGCACACACACAGCCACACACAAAGCCCTTTCAAAGTAATGTTCTTGTCTCCGGAATAATTACATTCAGTATCAGTCGTCATTGCAAGTGAGACTTATCTCTGGGGCTGGAGAGAAAGAAAGAGGAAAGAGGCAACAAGGGCACCTTCATCACCTGGAATGAAGAAATACACTCTTGGACACACTTGCGCACACCCGGGCAGTTGTTTTTCATCACTTCAGAGGACATTACATTGACTTACATTCATTTCCTGGACATTTACTATAACCTGTACTCCTCTGACCAATTGTTTTATCTAAAATATACAGATTCAGCTTATACAGCTTGATTTTTGTACCTTAAAGAGAATCAGATAGCTCCTTGAAATATTATTTTATAACCAGATAATGTCCCCACAACATAATAGAAGTATACCCTCTGCACACGCACGGCCGATGGCTGTGTTTCTGCCAGAGCCACCGCCCCCCCCTCCAACTTCATTTATCATCAAAGACAGTTTTTAATTTTCTATCATTTTATTCCTCTCTCTCCATCTTTAGTTCTCTCTGTTTTGAGAAACCTTTCAAATTTGAATTCCCTGTCATTAATAATGCATATGCTGTTCGTTAGGCATCGTCTTGAATTGCATAAATCATGAAATCGGGGAAAGAAACAGTTTTGTCTGGAGTGGATAATGTTAATGAGGGAGGGAAGTGATGTTAATGAGAGAGGGAAGCAGAAAAAAAAAGAGTCAGACAGTAGGAGTTTTTAAACTTTTTTTCTTTCATGACTTGTTCATTAATCTGATGCAACTGTTCACAGAGAGTTGGTAATAAAGTGGCCAAATGCTAAGATGTGCGTGTGTATTTCTCAGCTTCTCACACTGAATCTAAAGGCTAATTAGAGAAAGAGCTTTAATTTATCTCAGTTCATTAAGTGAACAAGTTTTCACTGACCAGAAATGCATTCTTCCTCCACTAAACCGAATATATTTCTCTTTATTTCTGTTTCTGTTTGACTTTCTCTGTCACCATCTGCTGCTTAATTGCTTAGTTCCTCTATGGTTTTCTCTCCCTTTTATTTTGTAGGTGTTTTGCTGCACTGGGTGATGTCTCAACCCTCCACTTCCTGCGCCAAACAAACGAGATCGTAGACAAAGTTTCACAGGAAACGGTGTGTTTTATCTCAGCAAAGGTCCAACGCACTGATCACAAATATAGCAGATAAAGAGCTTTAAGGGTGGCAATAATATTTCTGGCTAATTGGCTAATTATTAGTATTCTCCAATGAAATGCAATACGCTATTTGACATTTTTATGCAACGAAACCTGAATAATTCAACGCTTCTCTTAAAAATGTGTCTTATGATGGAACTGGAAATCCAGCATTCATTGTACAGCAAGTCTCTGCTGGAGTTGATATTAATGAAATTCCTTTTAGCTGAATCTCTGTGAGTGGTCCTTATAAAAAAATGCAGCTTTGCAATTCTTGAAAAGTTTTGCTATAGCTTCCTTTTTCTCTCGGCAAAGCTCAAAAGTGCTCCCTGGCTTTTGTATGTTTTAATCTCTTTGTCTCTTTATTAGGGAGAAGATGGGACATCATTTTATCAAGTCCAAGCACGCGTGGCCATGCTGGACAAGAATTTTAAACTAGCTGAGATGCACTACACAGAGCAGGTGGGCTGTAAAAATAATGAGCGTTAGAAATAAGATTGAATATGTAATGTGTAGAATGAATTCCTTTTCAGATTTTACAACAAACAGAACACCCCAAAATTCACAGAGCTGTTAAGCTTTTAAATGTGTATTTATGCTTGATTTATATTACTGCAACACGTCTACAGCACAGCCTGATGTGCACCGTCGCAGAAATTTAAGTAAACAGCACCACAGTAACGTCTTGTATTAATATTTGTGGTTAAGCACAACATATTAGTAACAGAGGAGTAATACCTTAAAGAAAATCCAGGAACTATTGCTCCATATTATGAGGAACTTTATCTGTAGGTAAACTGACATTTTTAGTCAAATATGTTCATTCTACAGATTAGCAAAAAATAGACCACTTTAATATAAAGCTCAAAATATTAACAGACTAACTGTTTCTAGCTTGCTATATAATGTTAATGTAGTCGGTAGTACTGTGTCCCTGTAGACACACACACGTTTTCTTGCTTTCATAGCTCTGATGATACTTGTATAGACTCAGTGTGTTCTAAAGTCTCCTCTCCTTTAGTTAAAGTAACCCTTCACAATTTATTAGCTCAGTTTCACTTGTGATGACAGTGAACAATGCAGATACACAAGCACACATAAATGCTGTCACCTGCTATAAGAGGGATTCAACACAGTAAAATAAGGCTTAGGAGCAACAAGCAGCCACAAACTAGAGATTTATAATTTCTTCCCCATGTAAAAATGGGAAGGACAAGCAACACAAAGATGCTTTCACTGCTAAAAGTATTGTTTACCTTACAAGATGGTAACCAACAAATCCCTGTGAGGGCTGCAGTGGCAAGTCATTGTAGTCTTTTACCAAACACTGGAGAATCAAGTCCAACATTTGGCTTTTGTTTGTTTTGTTTTGTTTTTGCTGTGCAGAATGCCATCGAAGAAGCCATAGAGATGTACCAAGAGCTCCACATGTGGGATGACTGCATTGCTGTAGCTGAAGCCAAGGTAAAAAAAAAAGGGAATTGAATCACACGCAATTACTGATAATATTTGATCAAATAATTTTACGTGGTCACAAATCAGCTCGAGGTAGCGTATTTATATTGATTACTTTGATTTCAACATATTTTAAATATTTATTTATCATATTTATGTTACAGAATAAAAGCCAAAAGCTAGTTTTTTACTGCCTCTTTATTTGGGAAAGGTCAGCACAGTGGGTAGCTCCACATATTATATTTATATATTTATTATACATTTATTACATTTTATATTATGGGGATTTTAAGGGTTGATGCCCTATCTAATGCATTCCCCAAGAGACAGAAAAAAGGAAATTATTTATTATTATTATTGCTTAATAAAGTATATAAAGCTACAGTAAGTTTAAATCAGAAAAGACGGGAAAAACCCAAAATGTGTAAACAGACAGCCTTCTCATATGACAAGCACAGGCTTCTTAATTGCTTAAAATAGCATTTCTAAAAACAAAATCATTTAGCCCATTTATGCCTTTGTCTTGCTTACATCTATTAGTTAGTTATCTGTGGACAGGATAACTGTTTGATTGAACTCTAAATGCAAAATAACTGCAGGGCTACCCAGAGCTCGACACCTTGCGTGAAAACCGTTACCGGTGGCTGATGGAGACGGGTCAGGAAGACAGGGCCGGCGAGGTGAGGGAGAGCGAGGGAGACTTCCAGGGTGCCATAAACCTCTACCTGAAAGCAGGGCTGCCAGCTAAGGCCGCTCGCCTCGCCATGAGCCAGTCGGAGATCACCAACAGCAGCGAGACCGTCGACCGCATTGCTGCCAGTCTCATCAAGGGAGAGTTTTACGAGAGAGTGAGTGGATCATTTCTTCCTCCTGTGTTTCCCGCTTCTCTGAGCCCATCTCTCCTCGCCTCAGCTTCAATGCCGGAACAAGTGTTCTTTGTTATTTTCAGTTTTGAACTCTGTCTCCCTCCATCTGCCTGTTTTTTTTCTCTGTGTGCTTTTTCTTTTTCTTTTTTTTGTCTAAAAGCTCACTTCTTTTCCTCTTGCCATCTGTGTTTATGTAACAGGTGGGAAAGAGGCTTGGAAAAGGAGACTGGATCCTCAAAGCAAATTTTGTAACCTGATATTTTGTGTTCTAATCAGTTTCGGTGTCTGGAATTAGATATAGAAGTTGGTGATTACAATTTAACTTGCAGTAGCTAAAAGAAAACTTCTCTATTCTCCATTGCATTTTATTGTTAGAAAACCCACTGAGTTAGCATTTGAAATGTGTTTTTTTTTTTATCCTTTTAAAAGTAAGGATAATTATAGATTGAAAGAGTTTAACATGTTTAATTGAGGATGGTTACATATTATTTAGCTGGAACAAATATCTGATTCAGGTATCATGTTGTTTGAATCATAAAATACCTTGCAGCAGAGAAATACAGGGACAAAATGTTCCCACTCAGTCCATTAAAACAAACAAAAAAAACTGAGGTAACTAATTAAAATGTAGCATGGTGTAATCGGCAGCTTTACTTCACACAGCCTCAGCCAAATTCACAGTTACTGGCCAGGAGTATATCGATACCAACGTCCTGTGTTTAAATCCGCAATAAGAAAACATACTTTCTAAAGACATTTAAAAGTGATAGTAGTCACTGTTCCAAGAACATCGGAACAAAATTCAAAAGGCACATTATTCTCATGTTCCCATGTTTTCATTACTGAACTATACTAAAGTAACTTTACAATTCATCTTGTAATGGGCCGTGATATAGCCCCACACTTCATGCACTGTCACAATCAAGCTGTTTCAGCTCTCTTTCTTTTAGACAGCTGTCTTCTGATTGGCTGCACACCATTGTTGCATGTTACTGGCTATAAGGTCAAATTTTGAAACAATTATAAATATCTGATATAAATATCTGAAATATTTGATTTCCATAGTGGTGTGGCAGTTAGCAGAGTCACAGAGTTCAAACCACTGGCTTCACAGTCCAGTGACATGAATGTCAGCTTAACTGATAACTGGCTGCTGGAGTTGATGGCCTTGTCCAGATCTCTCGTTGATTGACAGCTGGGATATGCTTCAGCCCCACATGACCCTAAGTTGAAAGACAATTGACAGAAAAATGTATGTCATCTCTTCTGACCAGGCAGGAGATCTGTATGAGAAGATCAGGAACAACCAGAGAGCACTGGAGTGCTACTGTAAAGGAGGTGCCTTCAGGAAAGGTAAAACAGTTAGGTAGCTTGGACTGCATATACCATTTGATAACTTCTACAATGTTTTGTACAATTTTAGATGGTAGGTTTAAGCTAAATCAAGTCAATTGTAACTTTTCTGGTAAGAAAGTTTCTCCTTCCTTTCCTGTAGCGGTAGAGCTGGCTCGCATAACCTTCCCCGCTGAGGTGGTGAAACTGGAGGAGTCCTGGGGAGACTACCTCGTCCAGCAGAAACAGATGGACGCTGCCATCAACCACTTCATTGAAGCAGGGTATGTAGAGTAGAGGAGGGATGGATGGAGGGAGAGGACTGGAGAGACAAAGATAAGGACAGATGGAGAGGCAGAAAGATGACACATGAAAAACAGTCCAACAGTGATGGCCAACAATTCTTTAAAATCATCACCAGGATAATGGAGAGATGAGATTTTTAAAAATCGCTACACCAATGCCCCAAAATCCCAAATAAGACAGGTAGTCAGAGCTCAGAAAGAACTTAAAGAAGCTTCTGAAACTGAATTTTGACTTGGCTACAAGTCTCTACAGAAACAAAGACATTAAAAATACTACTTTTAAATACAGTTAGTAAAGTTTCAGGCACTATTTCAGATAGCTATAAGCTAACTATAAGTTCTCTGTCTGCAGAATAGTTTAAAAATGCAACTAGTATTACCAACACAATCTGCATTTTAATGCTCACTCTTGCTATCTGAACAATTAAGGGTGCACAAGCACAGTAACTTGTTCATATTGTCTTCCATGCAGTTGTTCTCTTAAAGCGATCGAGGCAGCCATCGCAGCTCGCCAGTGGAAGAAAGCAGTCCACATCCTGGAGTTACAGGAAGATTCGTCATCAGAAAAATACTATGTGAAGATAGCTCAACACTACGCCTCCATGCAGGACTATGAGGTGAGAGAAAGGAGGACTGAGGTAGGAGGTAAAGAGGAAAACCTAAATGAAAAACAAAAACAGGTGAAGGTATAGCCACAACATGTTTTCAAGTTTTTGTCTTTATTATATAATAGATTATATGTTGGACTTTTGTTAAATTGTGGGAATGTTTAAGGGTAAGATGAAAATGAGCTGCAGATGTAAATATAACTTTTTAAAAATGTCTGATATAAACTATTATTTTCCTGATATAAATGATGAACTGAGGTTTAAATATATTTTTTATGCATTTTTGTAGCACTTACATGCTTGTCTGCTTTCACACATCCCAATCTTAATCCATAGGGTTCAATAAGATGTCAGCCCACCCTTTGCAGCTATAACAACTCCACCTCCTCTGGGAAGACTTTTCATTAAGTTTAGAAGTGTGTTTAAGGGACTTTTTGACCTTTCTTCCATAAATTCCATAAATACATTTGTGGGGTCATTTACTGATGTTTGGCAAGAAGGCCTGGTTTACAGTCTTGTGTCTAATTCATCCCAAAGGTGTTTCTCTTGGGTTGAGGAGAGGAAACCATGCAGGCCAGTCTTCCAAGTTCTTCCATGACAAACACGTTCGTCCATATCTTTAGGTACCTTGATTTGTGCAGTGGTGCACAGTCATGTTGAAACAGGAAGTGGGCATCCCCAAACTGTTTCCCAAAATCTGGGAGCATGAAATTTTCCAAATATCTTGGTATGCTGAAACATTGAGTTCCATTCACTGGAACTAAAAGACAGTTCAGCAAAACTCGCCCATCTGATTATCCAAAAATCTCACATTCTCCGCGATGATAGCTGAACACACAGTTCATATTTCCTCCTCACAGCTCTCCATTAAGCTCCAGCTCTGAAACCCCGGCATCTCCTCCGGAGCGCTTCTAGGATAACAGCAGAACTGCCAGGAAAAGTTGGCTAAAAAGTGAAACATGTTCACCTTTCACTTTACAACCAAATATCAACATTGTTCAGACGTCTGGAAAAGTCATCTTTTCAATGTCATTTCAACAAGGTTTTGCTCGGGGGATAGCACTGGGAAGGTGTTTTAACTGAAAAAGATAAATCTGCTCTACACAGCAGTAGACAGATGGCAAAGTAAGAAACGGGTGAACAGTGGAACAAAAAGAAAGCAAAACACGACTACAGATCGTTTCAAATGCGTGTAAACAGAAAACTGCATTTTTAAATATTAGTGCTGGTTACATACTTTGAACTGACTCAGTGTTACACTTTCACTTGTGTTATATATGTACCTCATAAAAATACTGTACAGGCTTGGCTAAATGAAGGAGGCTGTGACATTTTGCCACTGGCAGTTAATTTCCACTCATCTCATGTGGACACGTACATACACCCACACACATGCACGGTGGCCAGTTTTCACTTTACTGCAGTCTCTGTGGACACTGTAACCCATCTTTGCTCCAGGGTGCTTTGGCAATAAGGACAAGTTTGGTAGTTGTAACAATACTTTTAAAAGTTGCCCCAATACCACAAAAACCACGACTGTTGAAAAGAAAACGATAACGAGAGCAATCTGGTACGAATACAAAGAAAAGGAAGCGAGATGATGGTGGCGAAGCGCAGTGTGCTGTGCTTATTCTGATGAGCTCAGCTGAGCCAAACGGCCTCCACAGACTGCCAGGCTCTGAAAATAGCAGCCTATTTCAGTCAGATTGCTCCATGGGCATATTCACAGAAAGTAATTAAGATAACAAGCTCTTTGCTCTCCAAGTTGGGGGGTAGTTGTTGCAGGAAAGTGAAATTCAGTGCAAGCTATAAACAATGAAGCGCACGCACCTGCTGTAGCTATAGAGAAAGTATCCTGGAAAAACAGTGACTAAACACTTTTTAATCAGAATGGCAAACAACCAGCTCATCTGTTTGTTGTACTGAAACGACTTTTATTACAGATTGATTCTATGAGTATCTGGCTTTATGTAGCAAAAGTCAGTTCACTGTAAAGTAGCGGGATTTTTTTCATTAACTGTTACAAAACAGGGCAAGAAATAACACTGATCTTTATGGTATTATATATTATAATTTCTAAAATGCTATAAAATTTTAATTGCTTTATTCACTCCCTTAGTCTCGACTGTGTGTTAAGAGTCAGATCACCGGACACAACATAAACTGGCAACCAGCAGCAGAGTTTACAACAACAACAAAAAAATAACAGTGTTATTCAATAGGTCTGATATTACACTATTGTAATTACGTGTTTCATGTAATGGTACAGTCCTACACGAGCCTTTCTAGATCAGTATTTGTTTACAACCAAACTCACGAGTTGCAACATTGAAAAAGTCTACCACCAGAATAAGTATAATTAGAATTTGGTTTCACAAATTGCATATCCTTAGCTAGTGCAGACAAATAAGCAGCCTTTGGAGTGTGGTGAACTCTGTGCAAGTCTCTGCATACATCACTTTTATTCTCACCGCCTCAGGTATGAACAACGAAAGTAAGGCCTCTGCAATCTGAATTAAAATTAAGTTTAGTTTTTTCATAGTTTGATGTATTCATTCAAAGTTTCCAGTCTTGTCTTTATTTAACAGGCGCAGCGCACGTTAATGGACAGCAGTGTAAGAAAATATGAGATGTAAACACGGCAGATTTTATCTATACTCCTAATTCACATCCACAGTCCCTGGACAGATCACATAAAACGATATAATAAACAAAAACATGCAGAGATGCAACAAAACAAATAAATACAAACATGTCATATACCATCTGTCCTAGTCTGGTTCCGACTTGGTGGTGTTATTGCAGAGAACCCAAACAAAGTGCGCTGCTAAGTTTTAGGTCATTTAGATGAGAGTTTCACATATTTTGGCTACATGCTTTCTCTGTTACTAGTGTTCCCCCGACATTTTTTTAAAATGCAATTCAATTTTATTTCTATAGCACCAAATCACAACAACAGGTGCCTCAAGGTGCTTTATACTGTAAGGTAAAGACCCCAGAATAATACAGAGAAAAGCACAACAATCATATGACTCCCTATGAGCAAGCTCATCTGCCGCTTTGGAGGTGAGGGGAGATAGACGGGACAAAGTCACGCTGTGGAAGAGCCGGTGATTAATAATAACTAATAATTAAATACAGAGAGGAATATAAACATTTGTAGTAACTGCTGCCTGATCCACTCTGTGTGTAGGGGGAGGGGACTCACACACACAGGTTTCTTTGTGATTGACATTAATGCACTCCAAAGCCTCTTATCCCAAAAATAAGCCAACAACAGTAAGCTCCATACCCTAACCTTAAAGATGCATCCACGCTGGAAGTGATCTACTCTGCGCCAATTGCTTTTTCTCCGACAGGCTCTGGATGGCTAGTTAACACTCTAATATAATCACCTAAAACCAAGTTTTATCCTTAAACAGGTCTTTGAAGAGGTTTGGAGAAAAAAAAAGAGCCAGCCAAAAAGTTCTAACTTAGAAAATTTAATGACTGTGATTCGCTAAACCTCAAACAGTTTCTTACCAAGATAGCTGGGCAAGATTTTATTATTGCCTTTGTGACAGATGACTTTAATATATCACTCATGTTGTTTAGCTGAACCCACAATCTGCTTGTTTTGCACTGGCAGGCATGCCCACACACATATATTCAATGAGAGTATCCTTAAAGCTGTCCCATTTTGAAAATGGTAACTTTATGATTAGGTTAGCGGGGAATATGCAGATTTCAGCTGCAAAAATAACCTGGATTAAACTCTCAGAATGGGCTCTGGATTAGTAATGTAATATATAATTTTTTTTAATGTGACATTCTGTATTTTCTGTGTGTTTTTTTTTTTTGTTTTTTTTTTTATTGACCTGTAGATGGCAGAACAGCTTTTTGTGAAAGGAGGTCACATTAAAGATGCCGTAGAGATGTACACCGCAGCAGGGCATTGGGAGGAGGCTCACAAGGTCAGCACGGACACATTACAGCATAGTTTTAAATATTCTGTGTTTTCTAGAGTCCTTTTAAAGAAAATCTTCCTGGAATAGATAGTTAAGAATCTAATGTGGGATTAATTAAGAAATGTAATATTTAAGGCCGTGTTTTTAATATTCTTTTTCTTATAAAGCTGGCAGTGAAGTGTATGACGGAGGAGGAGGTTATGGCTCTGTACATCAGCAGAGCTCAGGAGCTGGAGAGAGATGGGAAGTTCAAGGAGGCCGAGAGGTAAATACAAATCTCCAGATTTACACGAATTTGTCACGTCATTGTCTGCTGGAGTCGAGCTGGTGGGAGACAAACTACCATGACACCATTTGAGTTAATCTCTGACCTTGAAAACAGCAGGAGAGAAAATCTAGGTGTAGTATTTTAGACCTGAAGTATTTTAAAAAGCCCTCTTTCCCCTTTTACACATGCAGGCTGTTTGCTACAGTGAAGCAGCCTGACCTTGCCATCACCATGTACAAGAAGAACCGGATGTTTGACGATGTCATTCGTTTGGTAGCCAAACATCACCCTGACCTGCTGACTGAGACCCATGTCCACCTAGCCAAGGTACACACCACACTGCAGTGATAATCTAACGACAGTGTTTTTACTCCTAGAGTTAAGCCCTACAGATTTAACATCTTACAATCAAATAAATCTCACTGTGACCCGAACCGAGCCTGAGTTCGGGGGATGGGAGGGCTAACTGTGTAAAACAACTCTCTTCACACATATTTGCAAATTGCCTCATGCATCTATAGATTTGCAAATGGATGCATGCTAAAACCTTTGTTTTGTACCAGACTGTAAACATGCTTATTTCCTCTTTAAGCTTTTCGAGCCAGCTTCAAGTGGCTGCAAGAGGAACTACAATGTTGGTATTCTTCTATATGAGCATCCAACTTTGTCACCATATGAATAAATGACAGCAATAAGGAATAGTTTAATAAGATAACATAAAATAATGTTGAACAGACTGAATAATATGAGCACACTAAATAGAAATGAATCAAATAAAAGTAGTAAATAAAGTAAACAGAAATCTTTGTTTATGTAATAAAACAGCCAAATAAAATAAAATAATGCAACAGAATAACTAAATACAGTCACATAAAAACTGTCTATAATTATTTAAAATCCTGGGTGAAGTAGTAGCTTTACTTCTAGCTGCTCTCAGTTACTCCAACAGTTAGAGCACAGAAACTAAAAGCTGCCTTTTTTCTGCTTATTGTACTGGTTCATACACTGAAAGTACCATAGCACTAATGCAGGACTTTAAGACAGGTATAATTTGTTCTCTCGTTCAGTGCTATGAAAGATAAATAGGATTAAACTGCAGTGACAGTGTTTATACTGTAAAGCAAAGTTTTTTGTGGCAGTTCATCTGCTTATTTTTCTTGTTTAATTACTTGGAGATGAGGAACATAACTCCAAGAATGTGAGCAACAAAAATAATGTCGTCAGATTCTTCCTGCTCATCTGAAACCAGTTTAAAAGTGAGAGAAGGGTTGTGCTTTGGTTCATGTCATTACTTCACAGCTCAGCATTTACGCAGGCACGACTGGTTGGGGCTTCTCATCAGAAGAGCTCTCACGGGCCCAGAAATTGCTGCAGTTCTAGAGCCGTGTGAGGTTTTTATTGGGAGGTCTGTGTCTGAGACCACTCTCTGTTTCTAATGTTTGTAGCTGTCCAGCTGTCTTGGGAGAAATGCCTTGCAGGAGTTTAAACTCAAACAATAATTTATTCAACATTTTCCTGATTTGTGAAGTTCAACAGATCACTGTACAGACTCAGACCATACTCGACAAATTTTAAAGTCTTTTAATCATGTCCCGACATAATCGCTTTCAAACTGAGTCTCTGAGCTCTAGATTTCTTTTCCATTACTGAATCTGTTCATTTTTGGGACCAATTTTCTAATTTTAGCAACTTTTTTTTTTCACAGTGTCACAAACTTTGGGGCATTAATTCTTCCTCTACATTCTATTCTAGCTCTAATTCAGCGACCCTTAATGGGCTGTGTGGTATGGTTGAGCCTGCCGGTATGTGATACATAAGTTATGGTAAGTGACGGTGATGATAAATGTGCTGTTTGCAGGAGCTGGAGGCTGAATCGAGGTTCTCGGAGGCGGAATACCACTTCATGGAGGCTGAAGAGTGGAAGGCTGCGGTCCACATGTACAGTGTCAATGATATGTGGGAGGATGCGTACAGGGTACAAACGCCACATTTGTTTTGTTTTGTTCACTTGTGTTTAATCTCATTACATTTATAAGATATGGCAGGGAGCAGTAAAGTCTAGAACCTCGTCCCACGCAGCAAATGTTTACACCTCACACTCTGCTTATATCAGCTGTTATCTGTTGTTGTAATTGTTTTAGGTTAAAGCATATACTGTAGATTGCATATATTATAATGTTTATTCCTGATGCTAAATACAGAATAGGACGGCTTGACTTGTTGTTACTGGGTTTCATGTCCACAGCATTGTTACAGGTGTGTGGCTCTCTGTTTATTGCTGTAGTTACGTTGGGAATGCACCACAGCTTTATAGCTTCTTTCAAATGTTTCTCCCCGGGATTATGTGTTGTAAGGGGGTTAGGGAGCCACAGGAGTGAAGGCCTGGTGTAATGATTTTTTTTAATGTGTTTGTGTGTTCGTCAGGTGGCAAAAAGCCACGGAGGTGCTGATGCGCAGAAGCAGGTGGCCTACCTGTGGGCCCGGAGTCTGGGAGGAGAGGCAGCTGTTAAGCTGCTAAACAAGTTTGGCCTGCTGGAGTACGCCATCAAGTCTGCTTCAAATAAATTGTGAGCATTACCACAACACAAAGACCCAAATAATTATTTAAGTTCAATTTACTCACATACTGAGTTTCATTTTATTTGCTTAAAATATGATAAACCTTTTGCAGAGCTTTAAAACAAGTTTGACACTCATTCAGAATCTTTTATCTGTTGTACTGTCTGAAAGGAAATCCTAACGGTAAAACTTGATCAATTGTTGCCTTCCTAAAAAGGAAATGAGCAAGGTCACTTAGTAACCATCTTTGAAAGTTATTTGTGCTTTTAATTCCCAGACCGTGTATAAATTAATGGGGAGAAAGCTATATATTTGACTTTTGTGGTCACAGGGACAAAAAGTGCATGTATCCTCAGTCAAATCCACATTTCTAATTACTTACTATGATATCAATTAGAGGTTTACACATGCTTATTGATCCCCGTGGGGAAATTCCTCTCTGCATTTAACCCATTCACTCAGTGAAGCAGTGGGCAGCCATTGGGCGCCCGGGGAGCAGCGTGTGGGGAGGGTACCTTGCTCACCTTCCAATCGTGGGGTGTGACATAAATAGGGACTGTCTTCATGTTCTCTCCAGCTCATTTGACTTTGCCTTTGACTTGGCCCGCCTTGCATGTAAGGAGAAGATTCCTGAGATCCACCTCAAGCATGCACTGTACCTGGAAGATGAGGTAAATCCATCACAGTTTTACCACACAGTCAGTTCTCTGCTCTTTCTATACACTTTCAAAAAAGTTGCTACAACTACCCACATAAAGACTTTTCAGTTTTCCTCCTACAAAACTACTTCATGCCAAATTTATTCTCTGTCTTCTTTATTTAACCAGACCAAGCACATCAATATGTGATTTTTTTTCTTTTTATTGCCCAGCATAGTCAGCTCATATGAGAATAACAATAAACCTGCTGCTACTGTTTCTGTGAACTAACTCACTGAGTTATTGTTCGTAATTTCTGTTACTGAGAATCTTGAACTCACTGCATGCTGCACACATTAAGTCGTGTTAATCCTGAATTTTTTCACGGCTTCATCTTACAGGGGAAGTTCACTGAAGCCGAGGTAGAGTTCATCAAAGCAGGAAAACCCAAAGAAGCTGTGTTGATGTGAGTATTGGAGGTGATGATGTTGTGCCCATCATTACTGCCAGCTGATCAGCATCAGTGAGGAGCAGATTTATATCAGTTTCAGGCTCAGTTTGAAGCTTAATGTTTAAGGACAATTTTGGTTAATATAATTATTTGAATACTTTAATTTTTAAACTTTCTCGTGTCATTAAAAAAAAGTCCAAATGTGATTAGTTTCACTAATCACATATCTCTTTTAAGGGGTTCTTTCTTCCATAATTGAACTAAACAACCAAGCCTCATCAAAATAATTTGATAGGTTGGTAATACTTTAAATTACGCTACATATATTAACCATTAATTAGCTCTTAATTAAACGTCTGATAAGGGTATAATAGGACCATGCAGCCCAAGTCATTAGTAAGCGGTTTGCAATGACTAATAAAGAGTAAACAGGCTACTAATAAGCATGTTTATAGCAAGATAATTAAAGCCTAATCTAAAGTGTTAGCAGAAAGTTAACTGAGGAATCAGCCTGCATAGCAATCAGCAGTAGAAATACTAATTATGTATAGCTTTCTAAAAATAGACATAGTGAAGTTACACCACAGCCAGCCACACAGCACTGCGCAGCAAGGATTCTTGTACGTACAGGCTTAAGTAATTTTAGGTAATATTCAAATTGGGGAGTGTGTGAGTATTCATGAATGATGGAGAGTAACCCATGATCAGTGACAACCCCAATGCTAACACTAATGTTAACACTAACCCTAGGCAAAGAAAATATCATCTTTGTTTTTAATTTCTCTTTCAAGGATAGTAGGCATGGAAGAAGGGGAATAGTGATTCTAACAGACACATCAAAAATAATTAACTTTTTTCATTTTTTTCCCCTCCAAGATATAGGATTGGGGTAGGGTTATGACTTCGTCCTCAGAGAGGTAAAAGCAGTTTCACAAAAGTGTGTAGAGATTTGAGCTTTAAGTTTGAGAAGTGCCATTACTTCCCTAAGCCACTGAAAGCAGATATGTCTTGAAATTAATGTCCAGCCTCCCAGGTAGCCACAGCTTTAAGTAAATTTCTATGAACCTGAACTTATTCAAAGTCCCCTTTCTGGTACTTGATGAAAAACATTTGAAAAATCTTTTCCGTTAATCTTAAAACAGATTATTTTTGGATTTTATTTCCTGTGTGTATTTGTGTGTGAACTGTTCCAGGTATGTCCACAACCAGGACTGGGCAAATGCACAGCGGGTGGCTGAGGGCCACGATCCAGAGAGCCTGTCTGAGGTTCTGGTTGGCCAAGCCAAGTTCTGCTTTAAAGAGAATGATTTCAAGAAGGCTGAGGCCTTCCTGCTCCAAGCACAGAGACCTGAACTAGCTGTTAAATACTACAAGGTAACTCCACCTCAAATTTATTTATAAAGCACATTTTTAAAAATACACTACCCAACACTTGCTGTGCAAAAGATAGAGTGGATAAAAAGACAAGGGAATAGAAATAAATAAAGAAATAAGAAACAAATAGATATTAGTGGGTGATAAACAGATAGAATCATGGCCGAAAACAGCACAGGAAATACAAAGACCAATGACACACTCAAATGTCAGTGAGTAAAAAGTCTAGTTTTAAAGGATCGAATAGAGGGAGCAGATTTGAATGTGAGGGAAAAGTTGTTCCAAAGTTTGGGGGCAAACACACAGAAGGCCCAGTCTCCTCAGAGGTTAAATCTAGCACTAGGGACAGTCAGAAGCATTCCGATCAGCTGACTGGAGGGACATGGAAGATTAATAGGGATGTAAGAGGTCATAGATGTGGAGACAAACCACGAATGGCTTGTATACAAACAGGAGTATCTTGAAACTGATTCTGACCCTCACTGGCATCCAGTGGAGAGATGCTAAAACATGTGTAATATGACCTCTCTTTTAGATACCTGTGGACAGCCTACCAGCACCAGACAAGAGAAAATGCGAGCATGAACACAATTTTGCAATCTCTCACAGAAAGGAAAACTTAACTTTTGATATGGAACAGAGATGAAAAAAGCTGTTTTTAACCACTGAGTTAATTTGCTTGTTAAACCTAAAGCCAGAGTCACATATCACACTAAGAGTTTTGGCCTAAGGGTTTACATAAGTGGACAGATTTCCAAGTTGATCAGAAAAACTTACAAAGGAATTGGCAGAGCCAAAAAAGAAAATTTCTGTTTTATCCTCATTCAGCTGAATGATGTTTTGTGCCATCCAGTTCTTAATGTCCACAAGGCATTTGATGATGCTATTCAGCCTGGACTTGTTGGGATTGAGGGGGAGATATAGTTCCATGTTGTCAGCTTAGGAGCAAAAAATTATATTATGTTTACTGATTATTTGACCCCAAGTAAGCATGTGTAGAGAGAATAGGACGGGACCTAAAATGGAGCCCTGAGGTACCCCACAGGAAATTGTTACTCTTGAAGAAGAATAGTTTCCAGTAATGTAGGAGAAGATCTATTTTTTAGGTATAAAGTGAACCAGTGTAGTCATCTGCCGCTTATACCAGCACTGAAGTGCATGCGTTGTAGGAGGTTGTTGTGGTCAGTGGTTTTAAATGCAGCACTGAAGATTGCACAGTTCCCAGAGTCACCTACAGGAGCAGATCATTGTATACTTTGGCAGGGCTGACTCTGTTCTGTGGTTGGCCTGAAACCGGACTGAAACTCAGAAGTCTTGATGGAGAATTACTTTGTCTAAGACATTCAAGAGTAGAGGAAGTTAAGAGATATTTTTTGTAGTTTTTGGCTAAGTTAGCTCCACAAGCCTCACAAAAGACGAGAAAGTATTTGTAGAATTTTTTGCAATTTAGTGAAAAATGTCTAAAATTGCAGGATTCATTTTCATTTTTCAGATGTTGACAATCTGCCTGATAGTCAGTTATTTAATTTATTTTGTGTCTGTTTTAAATTCAGGATGCAGACATGTGGAGTGATGCCATACGTATCTGTAAAGAGTATATCCCCAATAAACTCTCCATGCTCCAAGAGGAGTATGAGAGGGAGGCCTCCAAGAAAGGACTCAGGTGAGATTAAGCCCATAAAATAAGTAACCACTGACCTTCATTTCTTGTGGTGTTCAAATATTTTAGGTCTAACATGGCAGAGTAAAAGATGAAGCACAGTTCTACTAAAGAAAACCCAAATCCATCACTGCAGCTATATCTAGTTACAACATTTGAAGTCAAAAGCCTTTCAACTTGACTCGTGATTATTTGTGGGACATTTTTTAACATATTTTGAACATTACCAGAAATGCATCTATGCACAACGAATCAGTTTGATGCTTTTTTTTCCTATTTTTTTTTAAAAACACCTCACGTGTACTCCTAAATTTCAACTCCCAATGAGGAACAGCTCATTAGACAGCAAACCAGCAGCATGCAGCTCATACCCTCCTCCCATCGTTTCTCCCGCTTTAATGACTTGTGGGAGGAAACATCAAAAGTTACCAATGGAAACGGATGAAAAAGAGGGTTTGAAGAGAGAAAACACTGAATTATTCTTGCAGACTTTACAGCTCAGGCTTCAGATAAGTGCAAAGCTTCTCGTCTCCCACGGGCATCCATCTGCAAAGCTGTGATGGAACTGCAGCTTGTAGACGATGAACACAGTTCTAATCTCTAATTTCTAATGAAATAGAAGCTAATGACAAAGACCGATTATTAACAAGACAAGTAAATATATTAAGTGATTGAGATGAAAAGGCTGTGTACATTCCAGACAGAGAAAAATATGGATTCACTGAAGACTAACAGGGCAGAGGAGGGCAAAGGAACTAATACTGCACGATAGAGAGGGAAGTAGTGAGAAACGAGCTGATAATAAAAGAAAAAAAATTGAAGAAAAAACTAAACTTAATACTACAGAAAACTCATTACAGGAATGACAAAGAAATCCAAACAGGAACCAGACTCAGTCATTTATCAAGCACTGAAACTTGCAATATACTGTAAAAAAAACCACAAAAAAAACAACTAAAGATAAACCAAAACTCTGATATATTAACCCAAAAATCCAAAATTCTAAAACAACACAAAATGAACAGTTATGTGTATAATTTCTGTTGAAGTTGAGGAATAAGGCACACACACATATAGAATGGGATATTGCTTTCCAGCATGTCCTGGCTAAAGAAACCTCTATTCACGCCTTTAAGGCTGATTTCCTGTGATGATATCTGTATGGCCCCGCCTGCACATATACCCCCTTCTCTCAGCCTCTTCTCTCAGTTCGATAGCCGCTCTTCATCGAGCCAAGCTGCGCAGTGAGGCAACCTTGTGTTGTAACTCGTTCCTCTCCTTCAGGGAACAAAAGTTATACACATAACTGTTTGTTCCTTTTCAGTCGATTCACATGTTACAACACATATAGTATGGGGCATATATACACGCCCTGCAGAGTATCCATCAAACTGGAGTTGGACCACCACCACCTTAGTGCCTGGTAGACCCAGCTGAAAGGACAGCATGAGCCACCGAAGGGGCTGTAACGTCCAAACGATTGAACCGGGGAAAAAAAGTGTGCGGTGATGCCCAACTAGGTGCACAGACAAAGCATGAAGGTCACCCACTTACTTTGCAGAAGCCAAAGTGAAAAACAATGCAGTTTTATATGAAATACATTTTATATCCACTGACTCAAGGGAGGCACAAATGGCCTCCAGCACCAAACACAAGTCCCATAAAAAGACACTGGACCGCCAGTATCTAGAATCTCCTGCAGGAATGTCAAAACATCCGCAATAGAGCACTGGACTGGGGGAATGTGCCCGTCCTGGAACCATTGCTCAAAGGCTCGCCATTTGTACTCATAAAAGCCTCTACAGGACTACGCATGGGGCAGACCCTTAGCTATCAAATTTGATCTCTCAGTAGGTAACCATAAAGGCACCATAGATCCGGGCAGATGATCACTTCTCCTCTTGCCTGAGAGAGGAGGTCCCCACAGAGAGGAAGCTGCCAAGGACTTGCTGCTAGCAGACTGATTATCTCTGCATTCCACGACCTTCTTGGCCACCAGGAGGCAACAAGAATCAGAGAGATGTGCTGCCGATGCACTCTATCAAGAACTGGAGATATCACTTCAACTGGGGAAAAGCATAAAGGAGCACGTCTGGCCATTGGTGTGCTAGTGCATCTATGCCCACGGGTGAATCACTGTCGATTATGGAGAAGAACATGGGGTAGTGAGTGTTCACCCTGGAGGCAAAAAGATCTACTTGCCTCGCCAAATAGATCCCGTATCTGGGCCAATATCAAAGGGGTGCAACCTCCATTCCCTCACTGGAATGGAGAGAAGGTCTGGAGAGAAGATCTGGCCCCAGGTTGAGATGGCCTGGAACATGGGTTGCTCTTAGAGACAGACATCAAACACTGCACCATAATAGCAGAGAGCGACACAGCTTTAACAGGGGAAGGGAGCGTTTCCCTCCTTGCCTGTTTATGTAAGAGACCACTGTTGAATTGTCCATCCTGACTAGGAAATGTTGGCCCCTCAGAACTGGACAAAAATGCCTGAGCTAAGAACACAGCTAGCAGCCTTACATCATTGTGAAGCTCTGTGTCCAGACCCCTTTCTCTGATGCGCCATCGGACAGAACTCCCCACCCTCTTAGGGAAGCATCTGTGGACACCACCTCGTAAAACGACACTCTCCCAATCCAAGATCCCTGGTGCAACAGCCCACCGGCTCCCACCGGTAGCTAGCATGCAAGATGCGGTTACTGTTAGCCTCCTCTGGAACTTTCTCCGCAAAGTCACCCATCTTTCCAGGGTTCCAGAGTGATGGAGCTGGTGACGAAGCACACAGACTTCAGGTCAGTCAGCGTTCTCCTAACCTGGAAAATCCCCAGGCAAATGGGGCACGTGTCATTGCTGGTCACTATCATGCAAAGAGAAACTGCACCACTGAAGACAGTGGCAAACAGAAAATTTCTGTTTTGTTCACTTTGGTTTGATTTCCATACCAAAACGCAAAGCAAAGCGCTGCACAGGAAGATTTGAAATTAGCGCTTTGTGGACAGCCTACACACCAGCTGTGGAGTGAAGGCTAACACCAACAAGGCAGTTGGGCTAACTTAAGCCAGCAGACATTGGAGCTAACTAGCAGTAGCTAGCTAGCCCAACCCAGTAGATATGCTCTTAGCGAGGTGAAGAGCGTTAGAACTGAGGGCTGATTGTGATGGCAGGGGGTATATGTGTAGGCAGGGCCCTATGCATGTTGTCTGAGGCCATCCGCCTTAAAGGTGTGAATAGAGATTTCTTCAGCCAGGACAAACCGGGGCGGGATATCCCATACTATATGTGTTGTACGGAGTAAATCGACTGTAAGGGAACCCTAGCATTGACACAATTAACTGTCAATTTACCATTTAGTAATGGTGGTTATTATTATAGCATTAACTATTTTATGCCATGAAAGTTATGAACTGGTAAAATAACATAGAAATTAAATAAACCTATTGTGAAATGTTTAATATTTTTTAATCTAAAAAAAATAGTTTATTGCCTGTTGGTTCATGAAGAAGTAACAGCAAGTGTGAGTTTGCTTTTATTACGGATTTGGAAAAGATTTAAAATGAGCATCATCTGAAGGGGACTTGTTTGTGCCTGTTTATGTGAGTCTGTGTGTTTGTTTGTGGTTTCAGGGGTGTGGAGGGCTTCTTGGAGCAGGCGAGAGAGTGGGAGCAGTCGGGTGAATATTCCCGGGCCGTGGAGTATTACTTGAAGGTTAAGGATGACTCAAACACGGCGCTGATGGAAAAGTGTTGGATGAAGGTAAAAAGAAAAAAACAACTGCATAGAACTGTTAATTCACATGATTATTAGTTCTTTTTAACAATATGAAATTAATAGTACGTTTTTTACACGTGTAGTTGCTACTAAATAAAGAAGAGCTTTTAAGTCTGTCATGGGTTTATTAGAGAGGCAGGTTTGAAAAAACAAAAGTTAGCCTTTCACCTAGGCATATTTAAAAAGATCTTACCCTGAATATAGATTAAAATGGCTTATAGAATTAAAAACATATATATATATATATACATTGTGAGGAGACCCTGGGGCAGACCCAGTACAGGCTGGAAATACTATCTCACGGCTAGCCTGGGAACGCCTTAGTGTTCCCCTGGAGAAGCTAGAGAAGGTGGCTAGAGAGAGGGAGGTCTGGGCTTCTCTACTTACGCTGCTGCCCCCGCGACCTATCGCCAGATAAGCGGAAGAAAATTGATGGATGGATGGATGGATGTATTGTGCAATTCATTTCGGTTTTATCAGGGGGGGGAAAAGTCTCAAAAACTCACAAAAAAACTACACAAATATGATACACTAGACATAAGGGGTTAAGATAGTGAGTGGGAGGTTTAACCTTCTAGTACAACAGTCATCACAAGCTTTTGCAGTTAAATATTATTCACAAAATTTATTTTTACACCACAAACACTCCAAAAGGTCGAAACCATCTAAAGGATAAATGAATTATTTTCAGATCTTTGTCCTAGATGCACACGGAAACCTTATTTATATTTTGAAATGCCATAAATTAAAACATTACTGCAGCTCAGAATGTGAGAATCCCCTTTTTCAGCTAGATTAACAGTATTAACTCGATTTGTCAACCTGCCGAAAATATCTACTTACATTGTGTCAAATCTTAAAATGAATTGAGCACTGCATTAAAATAAATCATAATCTGTAGTAAGTTGACAGTTTGGCTTCAAGGCTGCGGCCGAGGGTTGAGGTCTCTGCAAAGGTCTGTCCACTCTTCATAGTTTTCTCTGTCTTCCTCTGAGCCGCTTTCCCTGGAGTGTTCGTTTTATCTTTGGCATCGCTGTACTGTTTGAGCTTTCATTACATAAAAACTACAGACAGTGATTTATAACCATTTCAAACAGTGTTTATTTCCCTAAAGAAGGAAATTATTCAGTAACTTATTCTCTGGTTCTGCAAAAATAGTCCAGAAATAAAAGAAAACTTCCCACCATGACCTTTAATGGGCGTACTGTAAATCTTATATTTAGACAGCATCAGTAATTACTTTTCACTTTTACTTTAAGCTCTATAGTGGGTGAAGGACAGAATAGATGTTTAATTATAGTCAAGAGTACCACTAAAGGTGGAGGAGGGCGAAAGGTCACCATGTCACCAACATCAATAGGTGATTTCTGCTGTGAGCATGAAGATACGTAGCACATACTGCATGTTATTGATTAAAGTGCAGAGGTCAGATTATTTGAAATGGGAATGGTCAATCTCCGTGATTGTAAAGAATCTCTTGAAGAGATCACAGAGATCAATAGATAGGTTTTTTTTTTCCCAAGTGAGTTTCATTAGGTCAGAAAATGCTGCATCTGCATTACAGATGAGTCAGGCGATACACTGATTTAAGTTTTGAATTTTTGATTCCTTCCTGTAGTGCGCTTCATAATGACCTTTATTCCAATTATCAATTTTTTTAAGACATTATATTTAATAGGTGAAAGTGGGTGCTATCAAACATGCCAAATGCCTCACAGAAGTAGCTGATTCTAGCCTATTTAATGTAGAAGTGCTAAATCAGAGATTACACAGATGTTGTTTAAAAGGGACAATGATTTAAACACACACATTATAATTACAGCTAAAAGAATTCTGCAGTCTCGTTTACAGCTGTTTAGTTTTTCAATCTGAAACTGTTTTTAGTTCCTCAAACGTGAACTTTTCCTGCTTTATGGTGTTTTGTTTCTTTTTAAATTAGATTACTGTGGACTCTCTGTTTAAACCTGTGAATATGAAATGTGGAAATTTATTTTGTGCTATTTATATAATATATTTATAAATTAACTAGTTAACTATGAATGAAAATAGATAGAAACACAAGGTACAGCCGTATTGGAAATATTGCATTAGAAGAATTAAAGACTTTTTCTTCAACACACGAACAGCAAAGTCAGTTCATGTATCACCAACTATCCCCACAATCAGAATCAAATGGATTATATAATGATTACGGTGACATTATATTGCTTTTTGAGATGACAGATCATGACAATTTTATATTATCATCATTGCAAAGATCTCTTTTAATATATTTTTAATGTCATGAGCTAAACAGTTGAAGAAGTTGAACTCTTTCTCCCTCGAAGTATGACATCATCAGTGTCAGTACTGGTAGGGCAAAACAGCAGTGGTAATAAGAGGCAGTTTTTAAATATGTACCATTTCTTACACTGCGGTGGCTCAGAAACTGGTGGAATAACATCAATTTGGGGGCAACCGTGGTTCAGGGGGTTGGGAAACTCATCTTGTAACCGGAAGGTTGCCGGTTTGATCCCCAGCTCTGTCTGTCTTGGCCGTTATGTCCTACCTACTGGTGTTGGCCAGAGGGGCCGATGGCGCGATATGGCAGCCTCACCTCTGTCAGTCTTCCCCAGGGCAGCTGTGGCTACAACTGTAGCTGCCTCCACCAGTGTGTGAATGTGAGAGTGAATGAATAGTGGAATTGTACAGCGCTTTGAGGGTCTTGAAAAGCGCTATATAAATGCAATTCATTATTATTAATAGCCCCACCCACTTTCTTAACTGTGTCCTAAAAAGGTTATGAAAGAACACTACTTTTTTAAAATTTGGTTTTATAATATTTTTGCTGTACAGAATATCAAAAATGCCAAACACACATATTGTAAGGAGAGAAAAAAACAGGAGCAAAAGCAAGTTTTGTACATTATATGTCTCGGTGTACACACACATACTAAACGTATGTGTGACTGAGAATAAAATACACTTGAAGTAGGAAAAATAAGACACAATAAATATTTTTTATTGAAAAAGTTGGGAAAATATTGTGCTACAGCACCCACAACATTTAAAAAAATGTAGTTCAGAACAGATACAAAACAACAGAAAAATATAGTAGTTAAATATGAAATAGCTTAAGTCCATACTGAATATTGTGGCAGGTATTATTTTAAGAAGTGGAAAAGGTTTTCTGTATCTATCCTCATGGCAGTGGAGCGGAAACAGACGTTCAGCTGCATGTCCAGTCAGTGTTTCGATCCCGGGCTTCTCCAATCTGCATGATGACATGTGTGAATGTGTTCATGACCAGGATGAATCACAGTATGTGTGTATATGTGTGAGTGGGAGTCAGGTGCCTTGAGTGCTCAGTAAGTGCAGAAAAGTGCTATATAAATACCACTAATAACGAGTCCATATGCAGAAGATAAAATAAATCAGTACTGGCTTTATCTTCATATGGCTTTCTGTCTTCCTATCCAGAATAAACTCTCTTGTCCCAAGCTACATTTTCTCAAACCAGAAAACGGAGAGGTTGATGAAAAGGAAATGCAGAATCTATCAAAAGGGTTTCATAGATTTGTTGCCCATTAATACCAAAAACACGCTGCCTACCTCGATTCTATTTCATGAAATAATTGCAAAAATAAACCCTAAAAGGAAAAAAAAAGAAACGTCTTGAGTAGACTTGAATAACAAAATAATGACAAAACTAAATGTTATATTTCTATATATGGTTTGAATGGATTTTTCCTTTTTGCGTCTTTTTGGGTGTCCTGTACTGTTTGGCATGTGCACTCGCTGTGTGCATATGTCCAGGCGGCAGAGCTGTCCATCAAGTTCCTGACAACAGATGTAGCAGTGGAGGTGATCCAGGTGGTCGGACCACGACTCGCACAGCTGAGGAAGTTCAACGCCGTGAGTGAAAACACACGTAGATACAGTTAATAAAACAATACACACACACACACACACACACACACACAATCCAAATATATATGCTCTTATAATGTCCAAGCATCTAATATCTGACCAGTTGCCTCTTTCCTGTCCTGTTCGTATTTGCTTGTTGAAGGCTGCTGAGCTCTACTTAAACATGGACCTCATC